TATAATATATATATATATATATATATATATATATATATATATATACACATACACACACACACACACAATTACTGAAGATTTCCTCCCAAAAAATAAGGGGAGAGAAAAAATAAAGGACAAAAGAACAAAAAAGGAGAGGAATGGGAAGGTAGGGAAAGGAAAGGAGAGAAGAGGGGAAGGGAGGAGAAAGGAGAGCGACATCTTGGTTTCCATCCAGTAAGAATTAATCAAAGATGTCTAGAAAATTGGACCCAATCTTTTCAAATTTGTCTGAGGTCTGGTAGGAATTTTTTAATTAAAATATTTTTTCATCAGAAAATGCAGATTCATCAAACTGAAAGCGTTCCTGGGATAGGGCTGTTTTTGATGTAAAATAAGTTCAAAATCAAAATGAGGCTTTATCAAAACAAAAACACTTTGCTCGACCCAATCTGATGTTTTTTTCAAAATTTTCTACTTTCACAAATGTTCAAGATCTCTACTTTTCATCCTGATGTGGGGTTGGGGCGGAAGGGAGGGGAGGAGGGGGATTTGAAATCTCAAGATCTCACAGGCTGGGAAAACCACACACATTTTCTCTAGCCTCTGAAAATTCAGTGAAACTTCTTTTAACTGTTTGTTTCATAGGTATATTTACAGGTAGTTACAGTGTATCACCACAAAAAGCAGGGAAGTCCTTTAACAAATTATACAACAAAGTAGTGTCCCATTTCACCCACCACAGTTAGGTTGCATCTATCAATTTACATATAAAAATAATGCGAAATAGGAACTCAGCTCTTCCAAATAAAGGGATTAAAAATCACTCACTCATTTAGGGCCAAATCCTGGTCCTTTTGAAGTCTATGACAAAAATCCCATTCACCTCAATGAATGACACTAGCTTTTCTCCATATAAAATCTACAGCTGGCATTAAGGGACAGGAAGGAGGGCAATTGCCTGGTGGCCCATGCCAGAAGGAAGGAGCACTGGGAAATTAAGTTGCTCAGGCTTCAGCTTCAGCCCCAGGTGCTGGAGCTCAGGGCCCCGGACTGCAGTCCTCCATGGTGGGGCTTCAGCTTTCTGCCCTGGGCCCTAGTGAGTCTAATGCCAGCTATGCTTGGCAGTCCCCTTCAAACCAGCTTGCAGCCCTCCAGGGGGCCCCGGTCCTCTGGTTGAGAACCACTGCTTTAGATCATGATTTACAAGCATCCTGCTTATCCTCAACCTACAGAGTTAATGTTCTATACCCCATCCTAATAATGCTGTAATACCCACAATCCTATTAATACTATAAAATCTGTATAACAAAAGTGGAGTTTAGTTTTTCAGACAGTGACAGCTAGTGTCTTCTGAATTAGACAGATAACTGCCTAATAATTACTTCGTAAGGAAAGCATCTAATTGAGCAAGTTCGATAATCAAACCCGATGCCAAAGTGCCCTCTAGTGGTCAAATCATTGCTTTGTTTGTTTGGTAACCCCCTTCCACACTTGTTTCTGATCTATTACTTCTTTAATCAGGTTTCCCAACAGGATTTTAATACTTGCACTTTAACTTGCATTTTCTTAATAATATTTTTAACTTGCATTTTCTTAGTGGCCTCTCTGAGTGGGGATTTGGAGCGGCTTCCCACTCCAGCTGGAAACAGGGCTGCGGCTGAGGAGGCCTCTTTCAGGAGATGAGACTCAAGTAATTAATTTTACTTTTTTACATTATTTTTAGACTGGATCCCAGCCCATGCCTATTAGTTCCTAACCGTCACAGTCATGGAGTCACCTGGGAGGAGAATGCTCTTACCTTCAGAATTGTATTCTGCATGCAACCTACACACTATTTCTAAAAAGTAATGACAATAATTCATAACATGCAAATTCGGATAGGAAATATACTCCTGAAAAATGCAGGTGCAGCTACATAACTGCATTTTAGTTTTCTGCCACTAAGGACTGGTGTTGGAATGGGTCATTTGAAAATAATCAGTAGTGTGTTATTCTCTAGTGGTGTAGCAGGTTTCATGTCTATCATAAAATTAATAGCCTTGCTTTAAACAGCCTTGTGAAAAACTTTTGTGCATTTTTATAACATTAAGAAATGCAAATGAAAGGTTTTCTTGTGACTAATGTGCTTTTAATGGGTGCCATCTTAAAACCCCGCTCAATTTATCCACAGGGCAGCTACAGTATATGCTGCGGCAGTATCAACTTCTCCACACTGCTGAACCAACCTTATTTCAGGCCTGACCTGGAGGAAACATTTCTAGGATGAGCAGTTCTATTTCCACTGTCTTTCAGTTTTTTCAGAGACTGCCAGTAAGGATACCAGTAAGTGGCAAATGGGAGCCGTGTGGACATTTTTCCAGTAGGACTGAGATCACCAAGCTAGTTTAACATAGACCATCAGATAACATCAACTTTCAATCATGTTGCAGACCAGGGCTGGATTTGAACTAGCAACCGAGGAAGTGGATGATTCTATATCCCATTATCAATTCCCTGCATCATCCAGAGCCAAATTGATGTGTGCGTGCGTGTTGTGGATAATTTAAGTTTGTCCTTTAAAATGAAGAAAAGATATTTAACATACATAATGAAACAGACTTATGTGATATATATTTGGTTTGGATGGAGGAAAGCTCCAACTGTTAAATAAAAGGTTATATCCTGAGGCCCTTGTTCAGGAAAACTCTCAGTCCTGCTAGCAGGAATTTAGCTTGAATGCAAGAATCTCAGATTTTGGTCTAATATGCCTAATCATTTTTACGGAGTTAGAAGCCTAAAAAGGAAGAAGTTTAAAGCACACGTTTTAATATCAGATCATGTATAGTTCTGGGTGAATTTTGTATAGCTCCCTGCCTATCTATCTTAGTGGAACTAAGAAAGTAAAGTCAGCTTTGTTCCACTTCCCACACATCTTCTGCATTCTAGCTGAAGTTATGCTAATGGGAAGGGATACAGGGTTGGTAGTTTTCATTTACACTGCTAAAAAAACAAAAACCATGAGTTTCTCCACTGAAGTCAAAGCAGTTATACCAGTGAAAGTCTCAGAGTAAAAAAGATAAGAATGAGGCCAACATGATTTTACATCTTTCTTTTGGCCCCTGAGATTGAGCAGATCAGATCACTTTGCAGCAATGTATTCCTAGTACTGCACCAAAATACATGTACGAGCTTACTGATAAGACTTTATTAGATGCAATTGAAACTTCTATTATATTTTACACCAAGAGCCCCTCAGCTGAATTGTAAGGAAGGTTACTAGCGATGGAAATCTAGGTAGCATAAAAAGAATGACAGGCAAATCCCAAAGTATTTTGTTTTGCTCCTTTTTTCATTTCTGTACAGAGTTATAGATCTTTCTCCATGTGATGTATAGTCCTACTTACTATTAGCATCTTTCAGAGGGGAGCCAGGCACCATAAGTATCAGACTGTTAGTTCAACTTGAAAACATTTCAAAATATTTTAATTAATTTACATAAAAATGTTTTGAAGCAGATAAATGTGTACCTTAATGTAAGCTGTCTCTTATACAGCATTCTAATAGCACAGTGGAATGATTTATATGTACACCTTCTAATGAAAGCATTCCAAAAAGCCTGGAGGGCTATGGAATAAATTCAACCATTAGGGAGAGCTGACTGTACAGTCTTCTGATAGTTTGTACACCACTGGGCAAAGATAACTTTGCTCACAAGTCATTAGGGGTGTACAAGGGGTCCTTTAAAAATGCATGGCTGTCCTTCTGAAGTAGCAATGTGCTCTGCTAGAGCAGCCCACCTGGATTTAGCCTTTACTAATGGGATACTGTAGGGGGATGTCCCTGAAGGAATCCTGGCAGAGATTTCCACTGAAACTCCTTTGTGTGTCTCAGTATTCAGAAGCTTACACATGTTTCCACCAGTTTGTACCCACTCTGCAGAGAAGACTGTCTCCCTTGGACACACTCATATTGAAACTCTGACCTCACTTTCATTCTTGAATTATTTTCCTGTGCCTAGTGATTAATTGACCCCCTATTCCTTTTTGGCTCCTCCCTTCTTCTGGGGCTGGATTAATATCTATATGGGAGAGGGCATTTGGGGGCCTCCCTCTGCCTATGGGAGATGAAATAGGCAATATTGTTCATAAGCCCTAAGACAAAAACAATGGAGTTACATAGTAACCTTGTGTTTGTATAGAATATCAATTTTATTGGTTCAGGACTTATTTCCTACAGTACTATATTTGTAAAAATATTTATGTATCCAACACTGAATTTTGCTTTGTTTTTATGACCCCAGAAGCCCCTCAATGCCAACTGGCAGAGGGTCCCCCATGCTTTAACTCACATCAGGCCTGACACACTCTTTGCCCCCTATTCATTCACAATGTTGTAATGAATTTTACTTGTGACCTAGAACTGAGCTAGCCTTGATTTGGGACCTGACAAAAGTTGACAAAACCAAAGTTTAGTACAATTTGATTTTATTGTAGTCTTGCTAGTTATAGACCTGATCCTGGCCTATTGAAGTGAATGGGAGTTTTGCCATTCACTTCAATGGTACAGAATGAGACACTATATGCTTAGTTTGCAAAATAAGGGCCTTTGACAGCCTGACACAAAAGTGAAGCCACATGAAGAGCCAGCTGACTGTTCTCTCCCCCTCCTCCCCTGTTTTTCCTTTTTGTAAATCTGTCCCCTCTTTTTCCTCCCCCTCTGCTGCATTATGACATACAGAAAAGACAGATTGTGTGTGATAACTGCAATGGGGAAATTCTTTTCCAATAATAGTCTTTTTGAAATTTGCTTTTCTGTTCGTCTCTTAAAGAAACTAATTAGCATAGTGTCATCACATAGATTACAGATGTGAGAGGCTGGAATTCCCTTTGCCATGTGAAAATATAGCTGTTTTCCTATTTGTGCCTGCATTTATATATAATGGGACAAGGCTTGAGGTACTTTCAGTACAATGGTAACACGAATCCCTTGCATCTCTAAAAGCTAAATTGTCAATAGTTGTTGTAGGAGGCTATCCAAAGGTGAACCTGATAAATCTACAAGTTCATAAATAACCAAAACAGAGACCAGCCACAGAAACAGATGGTGCTTCTGGAAGGGCCTGAAATATTTCCACTGCTAATTCAACATAAACCTTCTGTCTGGAGTTCTGCAAGTGGGTGGACTTGTGTGCATGCCTGTGAGTGTACAGTGCTTTTGTAGTCAATATTCATCACATTTCATTTTTGAAGCTTCTTTAGGCAGAGACAATATAGGTCCCAGTCCTGGAAATATTTATACACATTCTTATCTTTAAGCATGTGAGTCATTCTCCTGAAGTCAATGGGACTATTTGTGACTAAAGTTAAGCATGTGTATAAGTGTTTGCAGGATCAGAGCCATAGACACAACTGAACAAAGTCATCTTTACTTTCTACTGTTATTCTCTTAACATAGTAATGTCTGCCCATAGTTGTTTGTTACAATTTCTTTAATTTAGTTGCCATGACTTAAAAAATATTGAAACTCCACTAACTTTGAGGCCTGATTCTGGACTCTCACCAGTTGTGTTCCAGTGTAACTTCATTGACTTCGGTGGAATTAATACCAGTGTAAGTGATAATGGAATCAAGAGCTCAGTGTTTAGAAGATACCAAATGGCTTAGCTGAATGATCTACAGCAGTGGCAACTGGGAGTGTTAGCTGAGTAAAGACCACAGGGCTGAGCTCAAAAGAGTAGCAGATGGAGCGATCAGACATGCTTTCTTCCGTCTGCATACCTGCTCCCAGTAAACGTTTTTTCTGACAACAGAAAGAAATGCATATGGGGGTAAGCTTAAATGTTAGGATGTGCTCAGTGGGCGAGTACTTGTCAAAAGTCCCCTACATGAGAAAACTACTACATCATAATAATTTTGAAAAATTATGTGAAATAAGTGCAGAATGTAATCTTTCCACATCATTTAGTAGTTCCTGTGCTACATCAATCTTTCATTTTCATACTACTGAAGCTCTCCATTCCAAGAGGAGTTCAAATGATCCAAAATGGGAAAAATTAAATGCTGTCTGGCTATTTATGGGCTAGATGTACATACCATAAAAATAAAAAGCAGCTATGTATTAGCTAGAGCTCTGAGGCAGCATAAGATAGGAGCTGAGTGCTAGCCCTTACCTTTTCTCCACTGTTTTACAAAAACTATTGCTGGTACTCAGAGTAACGGGCAAATCACATTGTACTTTGAGCATCCTGGAGATGTAGAGTGGGATTTTGCAAAAGCTCATAGCATTGATTTAACCATGCTTCTGTGAAATCTAGAGCATAACTCCCATTGACTTCACTGGAGGCAGGATTAGGCCAATGTTGAGTGCTTTTGAAAATCCAGGTATTTCCCCTTTTTAGGTATTTATAAGGCCCTCATCTTTGTAACCGCTGAACATCTCACATGCTAATGAATTAATTCTAAACACCCCAGTGAGAAAGGGAAAAATTCCCATATCCATTTCAAAGTTGGGGTGGGGAACTGATGTATAGAGAGTAAAAGCCTGATTTTCCTATTCCTTCCAGCAGTTTTACACCAGTAGAGCTTCCTTAATTTCAGCATATTCCCCCATTTGTCCTGATGTAATGAAAGGGAGAATCAAGTCCTCAGTGACTTGCCCAAAGTCTCACAAAAAAAACATATGGTAGAGCCAGTTATGGAAACAAGAGCCCCTGCCCTCTCTGGAAATCACAAGGCATGAAGGCATCTTCTTTATGAGAAAAAAAAAATCCATCCTACTAATATGTAATTTACAGGATTTTATAAATTACATAAAATACAATAACAACGAGGAGTCCGGTGGCACCTTAAAGACTAACAGATTTATTTGGGCATAAGCTTTCGTGGGTAAAAAACCCACTTCTTCAATTGCATGGAGTGAAAATCACAGATGCAGGCATTATTATACTGACACATGAAGAGAAGGGAGCTACCTTACAATTAATACCAAATAAATCTGTTAGTCTTTAAGGTGCCTCGTTGTTTTTGTGAATACAGACTAACATGGCTACCCCCGATACTTGACATAAAATACAATGGTTCCAAATGTTTTCCCTTTTCTCTCCCTTTTCCTTTTTACAACTGCTCTTATAGTGTGAGAAGTCATTTAGAGGGGCATTTGTTTTATGAGTTTGGATGTAGTTTCCCTAAGGCTGACTTCTGAAACAGGCTAATAATGAACAATAGTATGAATGACAATGACCATATTAGTGATGGATAACATCTGACGTTTGCCAAACTGCAAATGTGTTCATAGAATATCAGGGTTGGAAGGGACATCAGGAGGTCATCTAGTCCAACCCACTGCTCAATACCGGACCAATCCCCAGACAGATTTTTGCCCCAAATGGCTCCCTCAAGGATTAAGCTCACAACCCCAGGTTTAGTAAGCCAATGCTCAAACCACTGAGCTATCCCTCCCCCCATACAATAGGTCACTCTGAAGATGTTCTTTAGGCATCTCTTTAGGCATCTCTGGAAGTGTCTTTGATTTTCCCCCCCTCTTGTCTATAAAAGTTGCTGTCATCTTATTCAGGAGAAACAAGAGCATGCGACACAGATGTGGAAAGAACATTTTTTTTGTTTGCTGGCAATTTTGAGTCAAAGTGAAACAATTTTTAAGGTTTCCTGTTAACTGAATAGTAATCACCACTTTAGTAATGGGTCAAACAAATAATTTTGTTCAACCCAAAATGGAATATTTAAATTTTGAGCATTTATAAATTAATTTTTTAAAATAAAATGAAAGGAAAATTTGAAACAAAAAGCCATGTCAAATAAAAATGGAAACATTTTATTTCAAGTGTCCAAACAAGCCATTTTGGTTCATTGGAATTTTTAGTTTTGTTTATTTTTAAAAATTAAATAATACAGTCAAAAATTTGAGAAATATTTTGGTGTCACCAAACCTGCAATTTTCATCCAAAAAAGTTATAGAAAAAAAAAATGTCACCCAGCTCTATTTAGGAGAATTGCACAGACTGAACAATGAAGAGTTAAAACCACAGACAGAACAAATAGTTTGCAAACAATCCTTGGACCTTGTGTAAGGTTTTTGAAAAATTCTGAATACTGAACAAATTCATAAAAATTAAAGTCTGTTTGATAATTTGAAAAGAGAAAATTCAAATACATTTGCTACAAGTAATTTGCCCAATTCCCTCTACAATTATATAAACCCAAGAAGTTATAATACGGTTTGTTTTACAGTGTTAGCAATCACAGGAACTACCACTGACTTCAGTGAAATTACTTGCAAGCTGAAAGTTAAGTACATGCTTAATTGCTCAGCTGGATTGGGACAATAATAAGGCGCTCTGGATACAAACAGCACACACTTAAAACTGAACAGCCAATTTAAGGCCTGACCAAAACCCACTGAAATAATTGGAAATACTCTCATTGACTTCAGTGGGCTTTGGATAGAGGCCCATAGAGCACAATCCCATTGTTTTAGCCTTGTGAATTTGGCAGCTATTTAGCTAAAACTCAGTGGTCACAGAAAATAATAAAAGGAAACACCAAACTTTAAATCGATAATTGAACTAATTCACTTAATTAATTGCAAAGGAATTGCATCAGGGATTAATTTGGACCCACTGATGTTATGGGCATAATTAGACATCAAAGCTGAACTCATGGCTAGGCCTCTTGCTACTGCAGTAAAAACACTTGTAGCTGAAGCAATTGGTGCACATGAGGCATAGTCTATTCTTATTGACTCAGCATTACATTTTAAGTTTCTGACCTAGTGTCAGAAATCAATGGCGCTTCCAGTACTCTGGGGAAAAGCTTTTTCTAAACCTAATGTACATTGTATTTATTCCTAAAATCTCATCCACTAATCCCTTCGAAATAAACTGCTGCACTATAAATGTCATGTCTTTTCCTGTCTGTTCAATTTAAGAGAATGCTGGCTTTTCAGAGCTTCTCCCACAGGGTTTTCTTCCTCTCCTGAGCCAGAAAAAAAAAAAAGTGTTAATCTGCCAGGAACATAGAACCCTTAAAATATTTTCTTGCAGAGTTCGCAGTAAACAGTATATCTGTGACTATGTATGTTATATACCTATAGACACACCTATTGTGCCAGATCCTCAAGCTGGTGTTAACGGTCTTACAAGGAGCTATAGTGATTTATACCAGCCCCCTCCCTGGCTAATCTAGCCCACTGTACATCATCAATTGTGTGAAATGTTCACAAGGAACTTGAAGCCATGGAAAATTCATCTGATTCTATATTGTATTTGCTGACACAAATTAAAACCGTTTTTAAAGATACCCATTCTTTATCTCCCTCTCCCCTTCAGTGGTGAGGGGATTGCATAGAAATCTTTTAGTTTATGTCAATGATCTCTATTATAAACAAGCATCTAACTATTTTAAATTTGTGTTGGAGATCTAGACAAGTGTCTGTGACCCAATGACCTCTGACTGCCAACTGGCAGAGGGCACAAGGGTGCGTAAGGGTCCCCTGCGCCTGGTATTTACATTCTAATTCACCACAGAGTGTCATGTAAGGTTTCTGCTGAATGCTGCCTGTGTCACACAGGCCATCATAATCTTTGCAAAGTGTATGTGCAGTTAATATGTAAGGAGTTATGCACATTGTGACAAAGTTCCTCCTCTATCTTGACAGGTCCTGAGCTTATTGGCAGATTTTCTTGCCTCAGAGATTCACCATGTGAGTTGGGGAACAGCCCAGAGACCTTCCCCTCTGGAAGAACCCACAGTCCAGGTCAATTGGGAGGAATCCAGACCCACTCTCTACTCCAGGTTCCAGCCCAGGGCCCTGTGGACTGCAGTTGTCTATAGTGCCTCCTGTAACAGCTGCATGACAGCTACAACTCCCTGGGCTACTTCCCCATGGCCTCCTCCAAACACCTTCCTTATTCTCACCACAGGACCTTCCTCCTGGTGTCTGATAACACTTGTGTTCCTCAGTCCTCCAACAGCACACCCTCTCAGCTCCCTGTAACTCTTGCTCCCAACTCCTCACACTTGCACCACAAACTGAAGTGAGCTCCTTTTTAAAACCCAGGTGCCCTGATTAGCCTGCCTTAATTGCTTCTAGAAGCTTCTTCTTAATTGGCTCCCGGTGTCCTAATTAGCCTGCCTGCCTTAACTGGTTCTAGCAGGTTCTTGATTACTCTAGTGCAGCCCCTGCTCTGGTCACTCAGGGAACAGAAAACTACTCATCCAGTGACCAGTATATTTGCCCTATACCAGACTCCTGTACCCCACTGGTCTGGGTCTGTCACAACATATACTGGAAATTATGTTTTTAAAGCCTTGAAGTTAAAGGTGGGTCACCCAGCAGTAATATGCCTTAAGAGAGGTTCCACCAGAGAAAAGGTGGGAGACATTTATCTCTCTGGTTGGCCATTGTATACTATGTGTTTTACAATGGGATTCTATTTGCATACCAAGTCAAATGCTAATGAAGAGATTGCTGGAACTTCAAGTGAGGAAATTAACAGGAAGAGTTGAACAGCAGAAGAGGGAAACCTGTTTACAGGTAAAGAACAAGAGAGTGATCTAATATACCTAGGGGTGCAGAAAGACCCCCTACCATCCATCTGGGGAGATATGCTGCCAGAGGGCTTGGTCTCATGAAGGGAAGGGCTCAGCCATCCTGGATGAATATGCTGTAAAAAGGACTTTGGGTAAGCATTTCTTGTTAGACAAGAGGGGTCTTGTTAGTTAAGTTAAAACGTTAGAATATGTTATGATTTTATTTTATATGTAATCCTAATTGTACTTACTTCTTATCGAAGACTTACTCTTTGTTAAATAAACTAATCCTTGTTTTCAGCATAAACATATCTAAGTGCTGTGTGTTAAGCAGAGTAGCATTACATAGGTGAAACTGATACGCTGGTGTGCACTATTCTTTGGGAATAGCAGATTTGTGAATTCTGCATGTCCAGTGGAACAGGGGCTGGACAGCGCAGGAGGATGCTCTGAGGACTTAGGGCTTGAAGTCTGCAGATCACTAACCTGTATGAGGGACACTGGAAGCTGTGCAGGCTAAGGTGGAAGTGCTTGTGTTGCCTGGGGCTGGGATGTCAGAGAGCTGACCCTACTATAAAAGCAGCCATAATGTGACAACTGTGCAGTGCTATACACTGAAGGGTGTGAGAGTGAAATCAGGCTGTAGCATGAGATTTGGGGTATGTCTACACTGGCAGAGTTACATCGCCGCTCAGAGAGCACTGAAGGGAAACCACTGTTGTGTCTTCATGTTGTCAGCTGCCTGCGCAATAGCGTGTTCACACTTGTGGCACTTTCATCGGTATTCGGAGCAGTGCACTCTGGGTAGCTATTCCACAGAGCATCTCTTCCTCTTCTGCTGCTTAGAGTTGTGGGAAGGCAGAGGGGGTCGCAGGGCCTGTCCCAATGCCCTGTGATGCATTGCTTCGCATCCCAGCAATCTCTGTGCTTCTGTCCACATTTAGCACCATCTTTCAACGGTTTGTGTACTGCGCACTCTGCCTCTTCAATCTGCAGGAATGGATCCAACACTGTTGACCAGTATGCTGCTCCCTCTCACTAACATGTCACGAGTGGCAGTGGAGTT